TCTAGGAATTTTACGTATATATCATCACATGCACATGGTACGCAAGTCACAACATGAGCGCAAAAAAAAATGATCAGATTGTGTCTTCTCATTTCGGGACAAATGTTTTTAAAATTGTTAAAAAACAAAAAAAAAAACAACAGAACTCTTCGTGAGTTTTAAGAAAACCACAACTCTTCAAAAATTTGTTAATTTGAATAGCATTACGACTTATCCATAAATATTTTAAATTGAGGTGCCAAAAGTGCACGACTTTTGACTAGAAAGGAGTGTGTTGTGATTTCACAAGTGCCTCCGTATCGAGCAAAGTGTTGGGGGATCACAAAATGTATTTACAGTGAATAAGAGAAATCATAATTTAAACATTAAAGTGTGGTGTTTCGAGGATTTTGTAGGATTCTCGTCTCGTCTCTCTCACACCGTTGAGCCTAATCGTGGATGCTGCGCACCTCGCACCACGCTGGGTGCTGCACGCCGCCCCGCCCCGCCCCCCACCCCGCAGTGCCACTACTCACAGCCTCCTCCCGAAATCGATTGCTAGCCGGGGGGGCGGAAGGGTGGTGGGGGTGGCGGCCCGGTAAGGGGTGAGGGGGTGCAGTGCGTGCAGGGGGTGGGGGTGCAGAGAGAGAGAGAGAGAGAGAGAGAGAGAGAGAGAGGAGGAGAGGCGAGGCAGACAGATGGGGGGAGACAGACAGACAGACAGAGGCATACAGACGGTGGGTGGGGGGGGAGAGAGAAAGCCGTGCGGAAATCCTCGCGGTCGTGGCGTTGAGGACTGATAACTCGCAGGCTGTCTCTGCTTTGGGCCTACTCCTCGCCGCCTGACGGGCAGGCAAGCCCGTCGCGCGGTCGCGGGCCGCGGGCCGGCCTACCTTTCTATAGTCGCTTGACAAAGTCCCTCAACTCGAAACGCGCTTTACCCATGTACCCATGTACACATTTATAAATGTGTACCATGCCTATGTGCACATCTTTTAATGTGTACCCATGTACACATCTTTTTAAGTAGTGTACATGCCACGTATACTAACGGTTGTAGGAACACTTTAAATGATGTGTATACACTATAGAAATAACTATCGTGATTTTACGAAATTTTCTCGGTTAATTTTCTAGTACGAAAACTTCGTTTTCAAACAATTACGATAAATCTTTATTTTACGAATCGCTTTGTAAAATCCAAAGCTCCAACTGAAAAGTATGGATTTGTATATATTTTATCAAATTTCATGATTTATGATGACTTAAAAATTTGCATCCGTTACGAAATACATTTGTAACTTTACGAACTGTTACGTAAATTAAAAATACGTAAATTATTTTTTACGAAGCTGCTGGTTATAGTTCTGCTCCAATTGTTCCACCCGGGAGCACCTTTCGGAGCACCTAATAGGGCAGCCTAACCGCACTACGTGCTGCGTTTCGAACGATTTCTAAATGCACCTGCTATGTCGTACACCCA